TGTTGGGTTGGGTCAGGGCGTGTTGGGGGAGGGTCAGGGCGTGTTGGGGGATGGTCAGGTCGTGTTGGGGAGGGTAAGGTTGTGTTGGGTTGGGTCAGGGCGTGTTGGGGGAGGGTCAGGGCGTGTTGGGGGATGGTCAGGTCGTGTTGGGGAGGGTAAGGTTGTGTTGGGTTGGGTCAGGGCGTGTTGGGGGTGAGTCAGGGGTGTGTGGGGGAGGGTCAGGGCATGTGGGGGAGGTGAGGTCCTCGGGAGACCCCCAAATTTAATCAAACACTCGTCATCTAGTTGTGTTGGAGGATAAAATCTGTTAGTGGGAAAGGCTTCGTCGTTTACCAGCGGTGACATGTTGGGGGGGGCACATCTGATGTATGTTGGGAAATTCATTCATGACCCCAAAGTAGATAAGAAATAGGTGAGGAAGGCGCAGGCAGGCAGACAGGGGATGCCAAGGATGGCAGAAGGATCTGTTCTGAAGCATGGTACTGTTTGTACATTCCTGTCTGTATCTGTCCATACCTGTCTGTATGTATCCATACCTGTCTGCATCTGTCCGTATTTGTCCTTACCTGTCCATACCTGGCTGTACCAATCTGTGTCTGTCCGTACCTGCCTCCAGGTGGCCCTAAGCTTCTTCCAGGTTTTGAGCCTTAGGCTCTCCTTTTCCAGGAAAGCTGGGAGGAGAGCGTGAACTGCATTGAATGCAGGTGGGGGCCTCCCTGGGCTCCCAGATGGGGTGTAGTGGCAAAGCACTGTCATGCTGGGGAAGAACGCGGCACAAGGGTGTGTTAAAATCCATCAGACCTTTATAGTACTGGGACTCATTGCATCTACATGGTGTCTGACTCAAATGGCCATGTAGCTCAGTGGGTTGTGTTGCTCAAATCTGGTACCCAGCTTACAACCTTCAGAGCAGCGATGAGGAGGATCCTGTGAACCTGAGGATCCCATGTCTCCCTCCCTCGCTCCTCACCCCTCATCACTGCACGTCGTCTACAGCAGTAAAACACTGATTTGTTCACAGTAATTAGCGCAGTTAAAACAAACGAACGCACTCCAACACGCAGGCGGCACGGCCTCTCGTTTGTTAGTGAAACAGATGGCGAGCTGATAATTAAGGGGCCTCATGGAGGTGGCGGGTGGGGGGGGGGGGGGGGGGTGGTACTTTCAGTGTGGCTCTCCAATGAAACAATCCATCATAGGGCATTAGGAGACACGGTGCGTCCTCAATCAGCCCTGTCAGGCCCAGAAAGCTGGCATTTTGGTGAGCAATCGGAGCACTAAAAAGTTTTGTCAGTGTGGCCTCCTCGTTATCACCCGCCGCCCCCGCAGATTAAAGAGCTCCCTACCGGCTGCCCACACGCACACGTGCTGAGGGGTGCGGGCTCGGGGGCTCCGCACATTAATCATCTTTAACGCGCTGACAAGCATCGCTGCGCCTCCTCCCAGCACTAGCCTGGGATTTATCTCCTCGTCTCGGGATCCTCATCACTCACCGTCTTGGGAGATCAAGTGAGAGACGGAGAGGAAAATGGTGGCGGGAGTGTGAGGGGGTCAGAGGGTGTCACCCAGACTGCGGCCTGCAATCGAGAGGGAGAGCGAGGGAGCGAGAACCAAAGATGACAGAAAATGCAGGTAAAGAGACCAACTCCCCCCAAGGCTCCACTGGGGGGCCCTGAGGCCAAGACAGCCAGAGAGGCGAGAGACACTTAACTTCGAGGAGCACATTTCAGGACGAGTCCAAGGAACAGGATTCTGACGTAGGAGGAAGAGTGGGTGTGTGAGTGGGCGAGCAGGCGGGCGAGCAGGCAGGCGGGCGAGCAGGTGGGCAAGCAGGCAGGCGGGCGAGCAGGCAGG